CCATTCAGATGCACAACATAATCATACTTGCTTCCTTCTCCCCACCCCCCCTAAGAAAAAAAGGTGGGCTTTAGACAGTAAGATCGAAAGAGGATTTTCAACTACTTTTCCAGTTTTTTTTTTTTTTTGTAACACTACGCCAGTAAAAATATCTGTGCCTTGCTGTTCTTAAAGAGTAGGAGGGAGATGGTAAGTGTATTTTCAGTAGACAATAAGGCATACAGAATGCTCCTGAGCCGAAGTCCACTTAGATCACAAGACTGAACAGGGATGATTTTATATCCCACACCACTAACTTTGGAAATGCCCCAGGGACAAGCCCTGTCCCCAGACAGGAGAGCCACAGAAGTACGACCATGGCCTGTTAGTACCAGGTCATCACGTTCGAGTTCAGAGAAGGCTTATAACTTGTCTTAGGTCACACACAGCCAGAAATAGAGCTAAAATGAGGGCCTGGGTCTCGTCAGTCCCCAGGTGGTGTTTCCCCATGTCCAGGCCCAGTGACTCAGATGCTCAAGTTCTAACATAAGACGCAGCATCATTGGTATCTTTCAAACCAGCTTCTCAGGTATTCCTGATATTGTAGAATCTAGGCGTTTGTATGTTTCAAACAGGTTTCCTAAGTAATTCTGACATTTCCCCAAATTTGGGAATCACAGCCAACGCCATGCTCCAACAGCTGAAATTTATTCAAAACGAATTTTGGATGCACATGCAGTACTGAAGCTTTAAAATGTAATCTGGTTTGAATGTGCCGATCATTGCTAACGTAACCAGGGCTGTGGACAGAAAAGGTCTGCTTCCAATAAATCTGTTTCTTTCCAGCTTCCGAATCTCTTTCTTGTTCTCCACCTCCTTCAGAGAACTACATGCATGCACAGAGACAAAGCTAAATTGCAGTCATAGGGATGTTTTAACTCTGGACACAAAGAGAATGTCAACTTTTCATGTTTTTTGGACTCACCTCTTCCTTGAAAAGATTCTGTCTGTTCTTGAGCGAGCGGAGCTTGTTCTGTTTGTCTTCATGGCGCAGCTCCTCCTCTGGGGGCTGGAAGTAGGCGATCAAGTCCTGTAGGGTCTGCAAGACCTCTTCTATTGGCAGGGCAATGGGGACAGCTGTGCGGTTGTTTCCACTACAAACCATGAGATTGACATGCTCAGGCCCAGCCTCCAGCCAGGCCCTGACAAGGCCAGCCACAGGTCCTGGCTCCTGATGCACGCACTGGGCACCATGAACTTCCTGGGGGTGGTGGCTATACCAACAGCTACAAAGTTTGCCAACTAACAGAGCAACAGAACAGATTATTTGGATTGGATTTTAAAGCTATTTCATAAACAAAGGGGGACGACTCCTTTTAGTGCATTTATTTTCAGGGTAAGTTATAACTTACCCTGTTAACGTTGCTGTGATATGTCAGCACCTCACATCAAATAGGTCTTCACTAAATGTCTAATGATGACTTTTGTGTACTCTAAAGAGGGAATTCCAAAGACAGTGACTTTCCTATCTGCAGCAGATGCTTCTCTTCCATTTAGCCCTGGTTGTCTGCCACACTTTTTAAATAAAAATGCTTTAAAAATAAACTTATTAACCCATAGTTCTTTTAAACTATCACGCCTTCTTCTTGAAACAGGTTAAACATAAGACTGGAAGAGTTTCCATCACTGGGTCTCTACCTCCATCTACATCTTTGTCTTTGCTCTGTCTCTGTCCATGTCCCCCTCTGTGTGTCTCTCTGTGTTTCTCCTGGTATCTCTGCATGTGTTTTTCTCCTCGGTTTCCCTGTGTGTGTGCACACACATCTCCTTTCCTTACTCCAGCTCTTGATGTCCCCTTTGCTCTCTGTATCTGGTGTCCCTCCTTCTGACCTTCCTCTCCCTGTGTCCGTCCCTCTGTACTTTTCCCCTTCTCTCTTCCTCAATGTCCCCCTCTCTCCATCTTCTTCCTGTCTGCCCCTGCATCCACCCCTCTTTGCTTTTCAGTGTCCCCTTCCCCATGCTACCTGCCATGTCATCTCTCTTTCTACTGCATTCCTCCTGCCCTGTATTTGTGTCTCTGTCTCTTTGATTCTTTTTCTGTTTTAATTTTCCAAAAATGTTTGTAATTAAGTCCTTTCAACACAGAGACCATAAACCTCCTTAGATACCAAAATGAGCATTCATTTCCTATCCCCTTGAGGGAAACAGGTAGGAGCCTCTCATAGGGCAAATGCTAAGAAGAGAAAGGAACTCAGCCCCTGTGGAATTGCATCCTTAGGCCCCGTGTGATTGAGAATGGGCTGAACATGCAAATAATATCAGGGCTTCTCCTTGGTGGTCAATTTGTAATGGGTTCTCCTTTGCATTTAGAGTATATTAGGTCAGTCAACTACTGTTACATATTAATCTGGATACAAGCTAAGAAAAGGTTGTCATCTAGGCCTAAAGCAAAGACTCAACAAGCTCTAAAAATAATCAGGCTGTGAGGTGATAATAATTCCAATTTTGTATTTTAAAAAAATGCCTAGTACATGCAATGAGGGTAGAACAGCAGCAGATTGTAAGCTTATTACAGGAGGTACTTCTGATCAGTCAATATGCAGCTCCTGGCAGTCCCTGGCACATGGTAAGTTCTCAATGTTTTCTAAAGACTACCTGGAATATATATTACTGGACACAAAGATAGTGGGAAAGAGAATGCCAGAGGACACGAGATGAAGGTCTGGGAAGACAAAACTCAATCCAATATGACTTCCCACTTCTAGATTCAGTGAAAGGATGAATACATTTTCCTCAATAAATTGGTCCAGTTCCAGGGCTTGCCTTTTCTTTTCTTTTTCTTTCTTTCTTTTTTTTTTTTTTTTTAAACATTTTGGGTTTACTAGAGACACTCAGGCTGGTTAAGAATAATTCTTTATGTGATGGGAACAGATGAAAGCAAGCAGTTTACAGGTGTTTCTGTAGCTTAATGGGGTGTCATATGCAG